TGGGGCCCATATTCACATGCGTGCACATGAGTGAATAGTTGAATAAGTGGATGCGAAGTGGTCACCTCACTACTAAGTATCAAATTTAGTGTTTAACACCAAGCATACCTATTATTCTCATATATAAATATATAGAAAAAATGAGTATGAGATGGCATATAGAAAAAATAGGTATGAGGTAGCACCTCATTTTGCTAAATGAGTTAGGGGTTGTTTGGATGCCTTGGTGAAACTAGAGTATTTATGACATAATATGGAAAGTGGTTATCCACCTCACCACTTATCATTGAGTATTTATATTATTTGGTTAGGAATCATTGTGAATCCTAAAATAAATAGTATTACATTGTTTGGATAGCATAATGTAAACTTGGAAACTGATAGTTATGCGTACCCTATTAAAATGTTTAATTTATAATAGATAAGATTACCACCATGATACACAAAACACTCTAATAATCCAATTTATCTCTTCTAACTAGTAGCAATCGGAATGATTAATTTAAGACAACTCATAAGAATAGAGGGACCTTATTGTAATTTTAATTATTTGAGGGACTAATTTTGAAAATTATCAAGAATGGAACCTAATACTAATTCAAAGATTTGAGGGGCTAATTCAAAGTTTGAAAGATTAAGGGACTAAGTTGAAAAGGAAAAGAAATAATTTATGGTGATTATACTCACACGGAGGACAGTAAACAAGGTTTTGATTTTTTTTTAATTCATTTTTTTATCCAGCTAACACTACGTCAACTTTCCAACAAAATCACTCCAAATTAGAGTGATTTTGCTTTCGGCTACACCTCATCGAAATGTGTCAGTTTTTCATGTAAAAGAAGATTCAAACAAACAGCATAAAGTAATGAAAGCTGACAGTGAGACCCATTAATTAATAACTTTACCTAATTTTTATTGTAAAAAATATAACCAAACAGGCCCTTAGCAAGAAATAACCACATGGTGAGGCCCACCCCACTTGTCAGATTAAAAGGTGTGGGTTTCACCTCCACTATCGCTTAGTAGCTCATTTTGCTAAATAAGCCGCCACCTCATAACCATTAAATCCACACACACACACACACAACAATAATGGGTATGGGTATGCTAGATTAGAGAGAGAGAGAGAGAGAGAGAGAGAGTAATGATATTATGAGATATTATTGTGATTTAGATTAATCGGATCATTAAATTCATGATCGGTACTATACATTTTATTCAAACACGTCATGAAATGTATATGATAAAATTTTGACATAATTTGGAGTCTTCTATAATATGAATCAAATTAGTTTGATATGTTGATTTTTCAGGCAATGTAACAGTCGTCCCTTTTACATGTACTAAAACAATGATTAAAAAATTCCAAAACAACATAAATTTCTCTACATATAGATCATGATGAGTGCAAATCATGATGAGGGTTGTCAATCATCATTTCAAGTAGACTATTGGGCTAGCTCACGATGAGAACTTGAGTTCACCATCTCATTTTGTCATATTCACACACACATAGAGAAAAATAAGTATGCTTGGTACTAAGCACAATTTTTTGTGTTTGTAGTGAGGTGTCATATTCACATCCACTCATTCCAATTCCCAACCACTTCCCAACCCATGTGAATGTGGGCCCTGGTTTCAATGAGTGGAGGAGAATATGTCATCTCACTACCAAGCATAAAAATTTGTGCTTAGTACCAATTAGCATACTCATTTTTCTCATATATATATATAAGTGTATTGAGAGATGAGTACACTAAACTTTTTAGCCATTGGATTAATCGAGTTATTGTTTGATGATACGACAGCCTATTAACGAGGGAAGGGTAGTTTAGTAAATATATATATATATATATATACCGCCAAAAGTGGAATTGATTTAGCAGATAGAAAACTAATCGACTTTCTTTCCTTTTCTTTTTTATTTCCCCCCTCTGTTCACCTCTTTCTTCTCCGCCTCATTAGTCCGCTCCACCTCGCACGTCCCTCTCTCTCCCACCTTAGGAGTAAATCAATTTTCCTCCTGCATCAGTAGAAACTCAAACTTTGACGTTCAATGACATTGGGAATTTATATCATGTATATAGATAGACTAGAGGCTCTCGATTTCAACAGAGCAGCGCATGCGTACGTTTTATCTCTCTCTTTCAATTCCTCTTCTGGAGGATGCATTGCTCTTGGCTTGTACTCATATATTAAGATCTAGATTGAATCGTTCTAATTTTCACATTCATTTGTCGTTTTCAATCTAGTCGCTTCATTAAGCCCTCAAGCTTATTTTGGCACCTAATTTTGGAATTGAGGCCTTTGTCGGCATTGGGACTCCTCGTGACAAAGGAAAAACGCCCACCAACTCGTCTAAATCAAAACCAAAGCTCCACTAAAGTTCACCCATTTCTTGGTAACTAATGAACTGATTAAATAAATTAACTCGTACCAACAATTTGCATTGTCCTAATTGAAAGATGATATTAGTTTGCCGCGTGCTTATGAAAGCGAGCAACAGGCTGGTTATAATGCCATTTGCTGGTAAGGGAGAGATGCGTGGCACCGTTCGTGCGGGTCGGGCTCACAGCGGCGGGGGAGAGGAAATGATATCGGAGTCGGAAGCTAGCGACATCAGCAAAAGCTATGGAGGCGTGAACCCAAGATGACCTCTTGTTGTCTACGTGATCTCTATACATCATCCAGCTGGCAATTGATTTTACTAGATCCTAGTTGTTTCTCTCCAGCTGTATTTTTGTTATTTCATAAACTACCCTTAACTTGATAAATTAAATATGATCATTGGATTAAGATCTTGAATGATCAGATGAATCCAACGGTTAAAAAACTTGTGTGTGTGTGTGTATGTGTGTGTGGGGGGGTTTCTATATGAGTAATGATATTATGCGATGGTGAGCTCAAATTTTATCGTGAGCTAGACTAGTCAGTGCATCTAATTCACGATCGGCACTATACAGGTCGCTCAACACATCATCAAATGTATATTTTAAAATTTTCACATAATTTCGTGTTTTCTAGAATATGAATCAAACTAGTTTGAGATATTGATTTTTCAGGCAGCTTAACAGCGGCCCCTTCTACACATAGCTAAAACGATGGTTAAAATTTTCAAAACAATATAATTTTTTCTACAATATAGATCATGGTGAGTGCAGATCACGATGGGTGGTAGTAGCCTATTCGGCTGGCTTACGATAAGAACTGAGCTCACCATCTCATTTTATCATTTTTCTATACACACACACGTACATACATACATATACACGCAACCCCTCCTTTATGTTCTTAAAATTTACATTTTAATACCTTAAATTACGCAAATGTGAAAGTATTTATTAAAAATTTTGCACTAAATATACCCTCACAATTTGCACTTATATATACTCTAAAACATTTAATTTACATTTTGGTACAAAATTTAAATCAATGACAATATGTAAAAGCTTAAATGGAGACCATTGTGTTATCTACATTCCAAAATCATGTATTATTTACGCCACACATTATTAGATTATCAGTTATGATCCAGATATATTGTTCATTAGCATGTCACATGGTGACAAGTAAGTAGGGGTGCTAAACCGTATTCATATCAGAGTAAATATATGTAACCATATCCGTTAGGATACGTATATAGTTACTCAAATCTATAACCATATCCATTAGGATACGGATATGGTTACTCAAATCTATAACCAATAAGATATGGTTACGGATATGGTTTTGTAGTGAAATATCCATATCCGTATCCGAAATATCCGAATACATATTAGTCATATTTTGACGATAGTTTTGATTCTTAGATTATGGTTTTGTGGTTAATCTTGATGACCAATATGTCTAATCTTAGCTTTTAAATTATAATGAACATACTAACGAACTCTTTTGTATCACATGAACTATATTTTTCTCAATACTATCTAGTTTTTCATATCCGTTTTCTATTCACATGCATATCCGCTTATATATCTGCATTTATATCCGTAGCTGTATCCGATTTTAGCGGATATGGATATGAATTTTCTTTACCAAGGTATATATGTATCCGTATACGTATTCGAGATGGGTAAGTGAATATGAATACGGTAAGTATCACATCCGAGTCGTATTCGGACCGAATGCACCCCAACAAGTAAGGTATGACAATCATATATTTCTATGTCTATAGTCTTTTTAGCTTATTATTATTAGGGTGTTGCTACAGGGACCCAAATATGGGACCCAAGGCATGGGACAGGTGAGGTGTCACCATCCGGTTGCATGATATACTGTTTATGAACAGTGTATCATGCAACCGGATGGTGACACCTTACCTGTCCCATGCTTTGGGTCCCATATTTGGGTTACTGTAGCAACACCCTTATTATTACAACATAAAACCAGCAACATATCTCATTGGAGACATCATACCTTTAGGGCCCGTTTGTTTGCAAAAATTGGAGGGGGAAAGCAGGAGAAAGCCTGCAAAAGTTCTGAAAAAGTCAGAACTTTTGCAAGCTTTCTTGCAAAATCGCCCCAATTTGGGGCGATTTTGTAAGAAAGCCTGCAAAAATTCTGACTTTTTCAGAACTTTTGGGGCGATTTTGCAAGAAAACCTGCAAAAGTTCTGACTTTTTCAGAACTTTTACAGGCTTTCCCCGGCTTTCCCCCTCTAATTTTTGCATCCAAACGGGCCCTTAGATTCACAATGCATAAATACATACTTAATTAATGCTAGATTCCTTTTCATATCCGAAACCAAACCGCCAT